GCCACCAGACATCACGGCCGGCCTGCATGGGCACATCAGCGCCAGTGCGCTTGAAGACGAGGACGTTGGTGACGTCGGGGCATTGCTTGAGAGCATCGTCGACAATCTTCTTGGTGCCAATGAGCTTGCCACCACGCTTGCCCTCGTCAGTAGTGATGACAACACGTGAGCGAGCGTCAAGAACACGGTCTCGCAGAGAGTCGGCAGAGAAGCCGGCAAAGACAACGGAGTGAACGGCACCGATACGCACACAGGCCAAAATCGCGACGAGGGCCTCAGGAATCATGGGTAGGTAAATGGCGACGGTGTCACCCTTGCGAATACCCATCTGCTTTAAAGACCAGGCACACTTGGAGACTTGGCGCAACAGCTCACTGTAAGTGACATTGCGGCCATCCTGCGGCTCATCGGCCTCGTAGATGATGGCGACGCGATCGGGATCCTTGAAAGCATGACGATCAACCAAGTTGTATGAGGCATTGAGCTGGCCCTCCGGGAACCACTTGACATCGCCGTCAGCTAGGGTGCCGCTTGAGACGGTTTCGAAGTCTCGATACCATGAGAGTAGTTCCCTGGCGCGCTCACCCCAGAATTTATTGGGGTTAGTGATGGACTCTTTGTACAGCTTCTGATATTCTTCGATGTCTGTAATTTAAGCAGAAGCTCACAGTCAGCGCACATTCAACATGGGCATCTTCCATGGCTAAACGGGGTTGTTTGGACGGACGACCGGAATTGGGCCGAATCAGGAATGGCGCAATGTGGTGAGGCTTCCTTGAACCCTGGGCCAGGGATCTTCATGGCCGAGGAAACAGAAGGATAAATGGAATTGCAACTTACTGGCAAGGTGGAGTTTGCTCGGGTGTTCTATAGAGAGAGAGAAAAAAGACTCAGGTTAGCAGCTAGTCATGACAAGGCGTGATCACAGTCGAGATTCCCACGATGAGCTCAATCGACTGCGACGTGGGGGAGTGACTGGCAAGGCGTGAGTGTGGAAGTGGGGTCAAGAAAACATGTTGCAGAAGGAGGGGCAAATTGCGTACTTGCGAGCATCTTCTCGGGCGGGTCTGCAGGAAGAGGCGTGTTAGTGATTCTCATGAACTTTTCTCTTCCCTTTTTTGTTGTGTTTCGCCAATTATTCGCGAATTGGGTTATTTCACTTACGGAATGTGTCGACCAGGTGCGCCTCAGCGACCTTGGGGATTTTCTTCTCCTCAGACATTGTGACGAATGAATGCGACGGGATGCGATTCGAATCAGCTCTGGTTGAAGTGTACGCTGGCCACTGAGTCACCTTGCAGCTTGTAGCTGTTAGGAGAGACAACTGCAGAAGAGCTGCGACACTCAGGCCAGTTGGAGTGGTGGCGCGGGGTAGCTCGTTTTTGTAGTGGCCGACTCGCTATGGCTGTCGCCTGAAGCTTGCTGAGTGGGTTCAGAGGCGGCTGGTTGTCGTTGAGGCGACGTCGGAGAGACTTGCCGATCGTGAACTTGGACGAACTGGTCTGCGGTGGTCTGCGCCTGTTGCTCTGCGCGCTCCCGCAACAAACTCGAGTGGTCAGGCCCCGCGACTGCTCCTGGTAGGTGGCTTGTATGGATTGCCTCTTTTCTGCTTGAAGAAAAATTATATTGGACGACAGGAGGAACGCAGGACGAAGAGGATCAAAGGGGAAGAGGGGGAGCAGACTGTTCGTGTACATGGGGGATTGGAATCTCTTATGTACTCCCCTACTCCGTCACAACCCGCCGGTGTTGCCCCTCCTCCAGCCGGCAAAAGAAGTTCGCTGTTGCTCATGTCTCGGCCACAGCAAACCTCCTCCCCAAGGTTTGTAGTACGATATTGTGTGCGTTGCGATTGCGGAGGAAGACCGCTCAGAGAGGACTCCAGTTACCCAGGTACCTAGGTAGTTGGCGCGGCTGGGCGAGTGGAAGCCGAACCTGGAGCTGGAACCTGGAGCTGGAACCTGGAGTTGTTGGGACAGGTTGCTCCGTAACCTGCCATTGCTGTCCAATCCTGTCCCCCAGAGTTGCACATCGACATCCACCTTGCCGAGCACACGATGCTGATTGCAGGGCCGGGGAGTAGGGAGGATGGAGTGCAGGGCTGTCCAGATGTCGCCTTTGATCCAGAAGATGCCTGTGGCTTGCTGGAGGCCGCGGGATTCGACCAATTGACCCGTCTGGTTCCATCCAATATTCGAAACTGGATCTGACAGGGCAGTTGCAACCGGCAGCAACCAGGACGTAGCCACCTACGCAGTACATGTACGGAAGAGCTCATCACTGTCACCACCTTCAGCAGGCAGGCACGCACCGCCCACTTGATCAGGAGGAGCGCTTCAGTCAACATTGCTAGACTTTAAAAACGAAGCTAGGCTATGATAAGCTAAGCTGGACTACGCTACGCTACGTTAACCTCGAGCCACTAAACCCTTCCAGCACACCATCCTTTCCCCCGAGACCTCCAGCCTCCAAGCCCTCTGCTGCAAGCCCATCATGGCGCCAATGGCCACCAGGTCAAGGCCTACTAGTATTATTTCATACCACGGGTGGAGGCATCCGCCCGTGCCCTTTGTTCTTGCCTTCGCCCGAGTCGGATCCAGATCTGTCGGGCGGCGGACGAGCGGCTACGCCAAACACTCAACATCTCCCATGTCTTGATCTTGACGTTTTATGTCTGCAGTACTCCGTACCAAGGCCGGAGTAACTGGGCACGGAACAACCGGGACGCCGGGCAGAAGTTATTAGTACCATCACTCGCGCCCAGGTGCAGCCGATCCCTTGGTCCTGCCGGAGCCTCGTTCAGATCCGGGGTCTTGCCCTTTCCGACCCGGGCAGGCTTGCCCCAGCTTCCCAAGATGACACTGAAGGGAAGGAGCCGGCCAGTATTGGACCTTGACCTCTTGCAAGTCATTGATTCGACAAGGCTCCATTCCATTTTCAACTTGCGCAAATTCTTTCCTTTCCGTCGTGGTAGCATGCGTCTGCAGTCAACACAAAGAGATGCCATGGGTTCTCCCCACTTTCATGTTGCAGGTACGTAACCAGGGTCCCCACGACCAGAATCAAAATTCTTCCACCATGCCCCTGGCCGATGGTAACAACCGGCATATCCAACCTACCCTGCTCATCACAACCTATCCAACCATCTTATTCGCTTCTCGTCTTATTGGTAGTATGCAGTCTTTTGCCAAAGCGGTTACTTTGGCCCCGTCTGAACCGTCCTTGTGGGCAAGACGCAGGGGCTATTGTCCATTTGCAACATAAGGAAAACAACTCATTGTACAATCTAGTCTCTTGTTGGCTGTCGCCTTCCTATTTTATCCACTGGCAAAAGGTCAAGCTGGTTTGGTCTGGTCTGGAGATACTGCACAGTGCTGAATCAAGGTATAATATCCTCACGGTATGAAGTTGTCGTTGGCCAATATTGGTCCATCTTATCTCTGACTTCGAAGAACTCGTCGCTGCAAGTTAATTCCAGAACAAAACTTAAATTTCCGCATGCAGGTCCACGTCGTCATGGCCAGCCTGCCTCGGCACTTGGAATCAATGTCCAGCATGAAGCTACTCGCAAGCATAAGCACTTGATGCAATGCATCATGATGGCGTAACGAGAAGTCAGCCGCCACGCACACCTCGCCGCGCAAAGTATTGGATCACAGAATAGCGTCTAACTGAAGAGATCAGCTTTGCGGTCTCAGTCGTAGCACCTCACGCGCCACCCCTCCGCATCAACTTGGCCTCTACAAGATCTGTACGTCTATGGCCAAGCATGCACTAACATAACTCTAGTACTACCTACTTGAGTACAATCGACATACTCATTGGATGCTAGGAACTAAGGTATAATATGTACGTGGCGTCGTGCCAGGATGTCCCGTCCTGACCAGTTGCGTTTTGCCTCGCACCGTCTTCTGACGAAATCCCCGCTTCTAGAACTGACATGGCACCCTTCACTCATGTGCACTCCTGTGTGCATTCAGAGCTGTTGATCTTACTGTTACCTGCTCGACGCCACTAGGTAGACTAGCTAGACATTTTCCCGGCCAACGCATATGTACCTACCTACTAGGTAGTTACATTCTGGGTGCGTATAAGTACTAACCAGTTCCCTTTGGCGATGTACCGTATAAATGCCGCGGCCAGCCGGCTGAACACCGTAAACCCTTCTGGATGCTTAAGGAGGAGGATGCATATGCGCCCATGTTAGGAGAGTGTGGTGCTGGCTAGAAAGATTCTGGTACCCGAAACAGCAGTATCATACAGGAACATGCACAACGCTATCGAATCGACTATCGCTAACCAGACATCCTCCGACATCCATTGGCCCGGATCAAAGTGTCGCTCAACAGGCTCCCGAGTCCTCCGCTGTCCGCTAGTCTCCACAAACGTCAGACCAAGACCTTTCCCCTGGATGTCGGGGTCCAACCGGTCCTGGGCATGGAGAGGTCCGGAAAAATATGTCAAGTGACAGACATGATGATGTAGACGCACAGCTAGAAGGTCTATTTGGGGCCGTGTTCGAGCTTGGCAACGGATGTGTAGAACTGAGAAACGTCCTTCCCCGTGTTCCAGGCCCCGAATACGAAACTATGTCTACGGAATGACCTGCCAACTAAGCAATACTAAAGTAGGTACTTTAGGTATTGAAGCAGATACATAGTTGCATCGTTTTTACCACCAAGGGGCCTAGGAAGTTGCATCAGGGGTACCAGAAACGGAATGAGGGAAATTTGAAAGCGCTTCAGCGGTTAGGTTACATGACCACAACCGCGTGGCTGGGCTCGGCTTGAGCTGGATAGATTGTACCATTTGGCTCCGGCCCCTTCAATTGCATTCTGCTAATGGCCAATGCAGAACACACAGCGGCGTGCTTGCCCAACTGTAGCCGCGGCCCATCAGCTGCGCCTAGTCATCAATTCGCAGAAGCAACATCTGCCAGCACATGACACCCATCCGTCATTGCGATTGAACGAACCCTAAACGCCCAGCTAATCTACATATTACATCTCCATACTCATGAGATACATCTCAAGAATACGCATAAACTTGGCCACAAATGCCTCCAAATGAAAAATCACCTTTGTCCCCGTCTTAATACGATGCTCATAAAACGCAGACCACTGAATCACCTCGCCCTTGAGACCGTCGTCAATTAGGTTAAGGAGCTTGAACGTGAGGGTTTTGAGAATTGTCGTAGGCGGGATACAGTGCGTTAGCAGGTCGTAGAACTTGGCGCGGACTTGCAGGATTCGCGCCGGCGTGTGCTCATCCATGATTTCTTTGGCGATCTGGCCGATTAAAGCCTCCCAGTCTGCTGGAGGTATGGGCGTATCTTCAGACACTTTCTCACTGTTATTCCCGCCCAGTCAGTCAGCAACCCCTGTACCAGTGTAACCTAGACCTGTGGAAGGAGACACGAAAAAAAAAAAGACGTACTTTTGCGCGTGGACAGCCTCGTACATCAACAACGCCCTCCTTAAATTCCGCCCACTCTCCATGGCGATCCTCTGGTGCAACCCCTTGACCACCCCCCAACCCTCCTTCTTTGCAGACATAGCCAACACGCTGCAAATCTCCTCGTGCGTCGGGGCGGCAACTCTCACAAGCAGTGTCCTTGACCGAATCGGAGCGATGATGTTTGCCGTCGAATTCGCTAGCAGGATGAGCCGCAAGTTGGGCGAGTACTTCTCCATGGTTCGACGCAGCGCCGCCTGCGCATCTCGCGAGAGCTGATCCGCCTCATTGATGACAACGACCTTGAATCGCTGCTTGGCGGACTGGTCCACCTGCTGCGTCTGCGCGACCTCCTTTAGTAAATCTTGCACGACGACCCGGTCGTAGTTGCCTACGTCGGAGGGTGTGATTTCGAGGTGGTACACGGATGTGACAATGTTGAACTCGAGCTTGCGGTTGCTGGTGGTCTGGAAGACGCGCGAGTCGATTTTGATCTTTTCTACGCCTGGTCCGTAGAGCTCCTTGAGAGTTGCTACAATTCGTGTTTTTTTGCCGGCGCCCGAGGGGCCGTAGACGAGGAGATGCGGGAAGTCGCCGCTTTGTGCCTGGTTTTGTCGGTCAGTCAGTGACAGCGTTGGAGGAACGGGAGCTGCTAACTAGAGATTGGAGACGGTGGGAGAGCTCTGGGTGGTATGTGAGAGCGTCGAGGGATCGTGGTCGATGCTTGTCGACTATGAGGGCCATTGTTGCGGTTGGCGTCGTGCAGTGGTGATGCGTGGTGGGTTGAGGTTGAAGCTTTTTGAAGATTGGGGAGACGCGTTGGCGCGTTAAGTGCAGCCGGTTTCTGTAAGTGGGATGGTACGTACCAGCAGGACCCACTACTCTACACGGGCCATGGACTTTCCTACTACTAGGTTCCTAAGTACTACGTATAATACAGCAAACTACCTCATGTATGGGAAAATATGGCATGTGGCGTATCGCTGAGGTGATGTTATTTTCTTGTTGAGGAATTTCTTTGCATGGGAACTTTGCGTTTCCGAGTAGAGCTCAAGGAACCTGTAGCACATATTACAAGCAAAACAAACCCTGCAATACAGTATCTGGGAAGATATATTCTACCCCCTTGCATCTCTGCTTTCACCTTTATATACAATTCTATATTACATGCCTTGTCCTTTGTTGTACAATAATTTGGCGATACCATGGGAATTATCATGGCGAACGAGAAGCGTCACTCGTGCTGCCAGATTCGGTAACAGGCGTAGAGGCAGAGGCCTGAAGCAACTCGGTCGGTGCGATTTGTCTCCTCGGTCGCTTCAAATCCTCCAAAGTAATTCCATCCAACTTCGTAATACCAACAACAGGAGCGTCGCCCTTCTTGACAAATTCCCACTGGCCTACATACTGTTAGCCGCACCGTTCGACGTAGCTTGAGAGAAAATGAGACTTACCAGGCAACTTGTTTCCTGCCAGACGGAAAGCATCTCTTACAATCTGCTCGTGAATTCGCCCCTTGATCTCAAAAAGCACCTGGCTTACGGCCATTCTCGTTGCCCAGTGATCAAAGGAACCTTTGCCTTTACCCATACGCATCTGAAAACGTTAGGATACAGGTCTATGGACCCCGTGCAAAAAACTTCTGCTCACCTCGTTACCGCTGACGTAGACACCGACATTGCAACACTTTCGCTTGTACAATCGGTATTTCTCGCCTCGAAGTCGCACTTTGATTGTGTCCTCAGCCATCTTCAATTGCTTGGCGCTGATTCTTCTGTGGTGGTCAATCATGCGCAGACCATAGTCGCCCCAAATGACAGTGGTGCCCTTTGTTGATCCGCCCGTAGCTACTCGCGGGCGACCCTTGGCCATCTTCTTCTTTCTGTTCAAACTTGGTTCCAGCCACGTCCCGAGGACGGGGGATGTGGTAGAAAAAGCCCGGACATTTGGGAGCAGCGCTGCCGCCTCAAGAGTCCTTGATTGACGTAAAATAGGAGTTCGAATCTGTCGCAGGGGTATTGAAGCACAAATTCTCAGCCCTCGGAAGGCATTGAGGAATGCTGACGAGTTGACAGACGCCATTGTTTGGAAATTAGTCGTTGACAGACGCTCTCACATATCAAGAGCTCTCGAAAATCTTCCCTAGCAATGCCGTGTAGCCTATTGGTTGCGGCCAGAAATTTCAGGCCCCCACCACTGGTCGAGACTGGAGCACTTGCCTGGTGCCAATTAAGATCAGGTCACAGACTTCGCGTCAGCTTCGCGTCCGCTAGTGGAGCAACGTGCACGTCACAGGACAATTTCTATGCTGCTCCTCAATTGCTTGCCTGGACATCACGACGACTCGTTCTCAAGGCAGCACCGCTCAATGACCATGAAAAGGGTACCGGTGCCCTTTGGTTGAGTCTCCGTTGGAATTGACAAAATTTTCAACTCTATCCCATCGCAGTATGCCTGATATCCGGTCCTTCTTCACCCCCAAGGGTGGTGCAGCTCCCAAGCCCGCACCGACCAAGAGTGAAGATGCTCCCAAATCAAAGCGAACGAGTAAGATTGTTATCGATGGTGCACTACATGCTCCCATCTAATTTGTGGTATAGAAAATCGAAAGGTTGTCGAGGACAGCGATGAGGATGAAGTTGTGTACGTCATCATCATGATTTCACGATTGGCGTACAGTAGACTAACTAAAACCCAGGGAAACCAAACCAGCCGTAAAGGCTGCTCCCAGGAAAAAGAAGACGTGCGTATATACAATTACCCCGTTGAGACAATTGAGACAATTCATGGGATTGATGTTTGTAGTGATCCGGAACCGCAAGGAGTCGTTATTTCCGCAGACGACTACTTTGCTTCATCCAAGAAGAGGGCGAATTCCAAGCAATCAACACCAAAGAGGGGAAGCTCAAAAACGCCAGTTAAGGAGGAGATCCCTGTCAGAGCAAGTCCACGACATAAAAAGCCAGATGCAGCCGTACAAAATGGGTCACCAGCGAAGAAGAAGCCCACGACATCCTACAAGAAGCATCATGTTGACGATGATGACGATGCATACATAGATGATGGAGATAACGATGGAGACGATATTTATGCCGCCGATGTCAAAGGTCAAAACAAACGTAAGAACGATGACTATGCTGAAGAAGAGTCCGAAGAAGAGGTACTACCGAAACCGAAACGTGTTGCCAGTCGTGGACAGGCCGCAACGGCGAAGGACAAAAAAACCAACAGTCGAGCTACGCCAGCGGCTAGCAGGAAGCGCAAATCTCCGGAACAGGAATCGGAAGAGGAAGAGGAGGAGTTGCCTCGAAAGAAACCAACCGCGACGAAACCACGTGCTCCTCGAGTCAAGAAGGCAGATGAGCCTGAAGACTCAGAGATCCAAAATATCCTTGATAGTGTAGCCACTGTGAGACCGCCAACACCACCCCCAAAGGATCCTGACGCCAAGTTTGACTGGAGGAAAGCTGCTGCTGGAGGAGGCAATGCTTCAATACAACCCGTGGCGTCAGCCGACCTACCAGAAGGTGAGGAAGAGTGCCTCTCTGGTTTGTCATTTGTCTTCACTGGTGTCTTGCAAACGATCGGGCGGGATGAAGCCCAAGCACTTGTCAAGCGCTATGGCGGTAAAGTGACAGGTCAGCCAAGCGGCAAGACGAGTTTTGTTGTTCTTGGTGATGATGCCGGGCCCAGCAAGCTGGCAAAGATCAAGTCTCATGGTATCAAGACCATTGACGAGAACGGTCTGTTTGACCTTATTCGCAAATTGCCTGCCTATGGTGGCTCTGGCAAGGGGGCACAGAAAGCGCAGGAGAAGAAAAAGGCGGAAGAGGAGAAAGTGAAGCAGCAAATTGCGGAAATGGAAGCAGAGGAAAAGAAACGAAAATCAGAAGCTGTCAAGGCAGCTCAAGAAGCAGCCAGCGCCCGCGGTGCTGCTGGCCCTCCTCCTCAGCCTGCGCCAGCCCAAGCCGCCCAGCTTCTCACATCCAAGTATGCCCCTACGCAACTGAGCCATATTTGCGGCAACAAGGCTCAGGTGGAAAAGATTCAAACTTGGCTTCGAAATTGGCCCAAGGCTAAAAAGTACAACTTTCAGCGACGCGGCGCAGACGGTCTAGGCGGAGAGCGGGCCATAATCATCTCTGGTCCGCCAGGCATTGGCAAAACGACTGCTGCTCATCTTGCCGCCAAGCTGGAAGGCTATGATGTCTTGGAGAGCAATGCAAGTGATGTAAGGAGCAAGAAGCTGGTCGAAAACGGCGTGAGCGATGTTATGAATAACACCTCCTTGCTGGGATACTTTGCTGGCGATGGCAAATCCGTTGATGCGGCCAAGAAAAAGATCGTGCTTGTCATGGACGAAGTGGACGGCATGTCCGCCGGTGACCGAGGTGGTGTTGGAGCTCTTGCCAAGTTTTGCAAGAAGACGGAGGTCCCGTTGATCCTCATCTGTAACGAACGTCGGCTCCCGAAGATGAAGCCCTTTGACCACGTTGCTTTTGATATCAGATTCAACAGACCGACAGTTGACCAAGTGCGATCGAGAATCATGACCATCTGCCACCGCGAGGGCCTCAAGCTCCCTCCACCGGTGGTTGATGCCTTGATCGAAGGCAGCAACAAGGATATTCGACAAATCATTAACATGATTTCCACCGCCAAACTCGACCAGACGACCATGAATTTTGACGAGGGCAAGGCCATGACAAAGGCGTGGGAGAAGCATGTGATCCTAAAGCCCTGGGATATTTGCCAAAAGATGCTCGGAAGCGGTCTCTTCGCCCCCGCGAGCAAGGCAACCCTAAATGACAAGATTGAACTGTACTTTAACGATCACGAGTTCAGCTTCCTCATGATCCAAGAGAACTATCTACGAACCAAGCCAATGGCACTAAATGGGAAAGGATACAATAAGCGGGAGGAACAGTTGAAAGCTCTGGAGCTGTTTGATCAGGCAGCTGAGAGTATCAGCGACGGTGACCTCGTTGATCGCATGATTCACGGCCCTCAGCAACACTGGAGTCTGATGCCTACTCATGCGGTATTCAGCACCGTCCGACCGGCAAGCTTCATTTCTGGACAGCTGTTGGGATCCAACTTTACGTCCTGGCTAGGCAACTTTAGCAAGCAGGGCAAATTGGGCAGATATGCCCGCGAGATTCACTCGCACATGCGTCTCAAGTCCTCGGGCGACCACAACGAGGTCCGACAGCAGTATCTGCCTGTGCTCTGGAAACAGCTTGTGAACCGCTTGGAAAATGAAGGAACGAATGCGGTGCCCGAGGTCATTGATCTCATGGACAGCTACTTCCTCACCAGAGAAGACTTTGATGCCATTCAGGAGCTTGGAGTTGGACCAATGACAGAAGAGAAGGTTTCTATTGAATCGAAGACAAAGGCTGCCTTCACGAGAACGTAAGTTGAAGCATGATGCTAAGAAGAAGTAGAGCCAACCACTGACGTGCCTCAAGATACAATTCAATGAACCACCCTGTCCCGTTTATGAAAGCGAGCAATGTTATTGCACCCAAGAAGCAGACAAAGGAAGTGCCCGACTTGGAAGAAGCTATTGAAGAGGAAGACGATGGACAGGCGGCTGAAGTTCCAGACGTCGACGAAGATGAAATTGATCTCAAGAAGGACAAGTATATCAAGCAGCCCAAGAAGAAACCCGCCAAGAAGTCTGCCACCAAAGCTGCCGCAGATAATGACGGGGACGACCCGCCCAAAAGCAAGGGCAAAACCAAAGGAAAGACGAAGAAGTAGGATGCGATTTGTGTACCATTATACTGTTGGCTGTGCGAAGTCTGCTGATGTTAGAAAGAAGGGTTAGAAGAAGTCGAGTGTTGGTTGAGGCTGCTTGAAATACATCAAATACGATGTCGCGTTAGCTGTATTGTTGGTTGCACTCAGAGACCACTAACTATGAAGTCGAGTGCATTAATGATGGTGATTTTAATAGTCTTGTCGTGTTTAGTATGACCACACGATTATGTCCTTAGGTTAAAGCCACAAGGACAAGGTGTCTCTGACAGAGCAAGCTGTGAAATACCGTGGCACCGAGTTGCTCAGAGTCATTTTAGCATTATAGCCTTGGGAAACTCATTTATAGAAGATTACATTTCTCAAGATGAAGGATTGTAACACCTTGAAATGGTATCAATTTAACTGGAGATTGAAGCAGCAGACTGATAAATAATGTCCCTGGCTTGGTTGTATGGGAATATAAAAACATGATGCTGGAGGAGCATTGTTCTTTCAGTTCTCGTGGCAGCAATGAATCTTGATACCCTGCGGTCAGGCCCGCTCCCGCTCCCGCACGGCGTGTGGCGCTAATTTGCGTATACAGAGTAGGCGTCTAAACTCATGCATGCCATGGCTTAGGGTGGCTGTCCATGTGTGGCTCATTGGCCCGTATCTTTGTTTGACCTTTCTAAAATCTCCCTCCTCTAATAACCTGCCATCAGCCATATGAAATGCACAACTCAATTTGAGACCGCAGTATCGGCATTCATTACGTTCACTTATAATCGATCAAGGTCAGCCAACACTCGATTGTGTTTAATATCGGGAGTGCTGATCGGAAAACCGGTCGCTCCCCTGGCATGGAGCCTTTATCCACGATGTTGAGCTCGACGACCCGTCAGCTTCTCCGGAGAACAGTGAATCTCAAGGCTTCTTTGGCAGAAGATGACAATGTCCTGAAACAGTTGCAATATACAGAGAAGAAGCAACGGTTTTGGAGTTCACTGACTGCACGGAAAGCTGAGATTGGATTCATGATTTGTTACCAGTTGGGTGTTGATTGGTGCCATGATCCATCTATGCACTTTGGAGACGTGGAAACCAGGCAGCTTTAATGTGGTCATACTTGTTCTTCTGCACCAACTCTACACGTATTTGGATTTCCTGATGGATTTGTAGTAAGTTACGTGCATATTGCATTTGTCTCGGACTAACAAATGCATGCAGCTCATGCATCCGAATCATAGTCCATTCCTTACTAAAAAATTATGGCAGCTGAAGAGATGGATTTTCAAACTTTTCGGTCGCCCAGCTCTATCTTGATATGTGCGGCGCAGGTGAAACAGTCCGCTGGAGACAGGCTATGCCATCCTCAGTCAGGCCGAGGGGACAATGCTTTCATTATCATGGGAAGAGCATCGGCATGACGAATCGTATCGAGAGGGCTTATTCCGGGACCTTGCCAACATCACCTTATCAATCAACAGGACACCCCTGTCTTATATTGGTTATCTAACTTTTCATCCTAATGGCCGTAACTCTCTTTCGAGTAGACCGCTTGATCTGTACTTCCAGATGCCAGAGAAAGAAGGTGTTACATTCAGCATTCCACGACCGCGGACTTTCGGCCATGGAGCCTTATTTATCTGATCTTCTTTCTCTTCAAGATAGCAAGATCTTATAGGCGCCAAACGCAATCCATGACCGGGAAGATGGTGAGAGTTCGAGCCATAATGCATAGGCTCATCCGCCCAGAATACGGCGACAGACCTTTCTGCTTAACCCTTGCCGGCCTGCATCAATCGAATATCTTTATAAACAAAAAATGGAACATACAGTCCATCATCAACCTCAAAAGGACATTTGAAAAGCCAATCGAGATGCAAGTTCTCCCGCGCTGGTTTACATCGAGGCCAGTAGACGGCTTTTATGACTCAGATGCTATAGCTGAGTACGATGCCCTTGTTGATGAATACCCGGGTATCTATGCCGCGGAAGAGAAACGGCGCAACGGTGTGATTGCTGAGGCATCAATGAAGCGTCATGTGTGGAAACGCGGTAATTTCTGTTGCTTCCATGCGGTCTCGGTACCAAAAGGCATGCATAACTTCTTATTTAATCGACATATTCAACAAGGAACATTCCAAACTCGACATTGACGAGGTGTTCTTCTAGTACTGGAGAGAGAATGCTACTGAGACGACACGTACAAAACTTAAGGATGAGGAAGAATATCAAAAGAGTGACGGAAGCTTTCGGGTTTCAAATGGAGCCTTTTCAGAGCCCACCATCTACATGTCCAGACGCTTCGGGAACGAAGGCCTCGATGAAGTGCTTTGACTCGAGCGTCGTGGCCGGGAATATACAACACAAGGTATTCTCATGTTCAAGTATCGCCCAGCGAATCCATCTCGTCGTTACTTTTCTATCTATGTAACCTGATCCCCTTGCTGCATGCTCTGGGTGGGTTTGTCAGCTGAATTCCTCAGCTGGGAGGGCGTTTTACTAATCAGTAGGTCCTTGTTCTGCTAATCTGGAGCAAATCCTGTGAATTTGTACCAACTCCTTTGACGCATAAATGAATTTATGCATCTCGACATAAAGTTAGTACGTACTAGGTCGTAGTGCCTGCCGAGATGGTGCAGAAAGCCGTGGCATACTTGGAGGCGCCAGCTGTCGCCCACAAGCAATCCTTTGGCCAACGAACCATCAGATTGTTTCTCGTTGCAAGCTGCAAAAATTTGACGAAATAATGAATGCTCCGCCAGGCACTGCTGCACGTACTGTGGCGTGTGACTCTTGTCTGGTCGGCAACTTTTGCCTATGCATAGAGACACAAGTCGATGCTTTTCCCGCGGAAGAAGAATCCAAGACTGACAGCTTCGCTCTGGGAAACATGGTTAAATCGACGCCGTTGACGAACAATTCATCCAACCAAGGACAGAGTGCATCTGGCGCCCCCGGTGGGCCAAGTCATCCAACTCAGACGTTCCACAGCATCAACAAGTTCGACTAGGCAAGACAGAGGCGTCAACGGCTGTAAAGTGCAGAGTCCTATTGCTGCCTGCTCATACTTCTGGATGACTGCAGGAGATACATGGGTACATGATTGGTTTAAAAGGAAAATGGACTCGCATACTATGGACGCCTTGGTGTATTGACCGGAATTTTCTGACTGGACCCTCCTTGTCAAATATCCATCACCGGCAGCCAAAGGAACTATCCTTGGAATTGATTTAGCTCCAGGAAGCGTTGCAGAATACATCCAAATTTCGGGCTGTGAAAGTCTTGTCCCGCTGCTTGCCATGTCATCCATGATATCGTGGCTGGAGGTGTGCAGCCGTGCCCATCATGATAAACAACGGCTAAGAGGCAAATCATTTCACAACTTATGGATATTCGAGCCTCCTCGCCCGCTCTCAACCCCAGACAGCAGCTTCATGATGAGTGCTATACGCCTGCTTTCTGATGAATTGAGGAATATGTTGGCAGATTCGCCCGAGTATTCAAAGAAGAAAGTTTTAATAGAAGCCGACACGAAAGATGAAAGCCGTCACTGGGATTGGGAGCAAGCGACACCACATACGACGAGGATTGGAGGTCGGAGATTCCAAGGCGGGCTCAACGACCTTCGCCAAGTTGCAATCAGGTATAGAGACGCACAAAAAGGTCCTCGAAATAAGAAGGTCTCGATACAGTCCTGCCAACTGACTGCACTGTTGCCCAACCGTCGATATCAAAATATGTTTAGTCTCACAGAAAGGTTGACAAGGGTCAACGATGAGCTATATGGTCGATCCGCTGTCCAGAAATGGAAGTGCACTCAAGGAAAGGCGAAACCATGGAGGGGAAACACTTTCCTTGGCAATGGGGGCAAGATCAAAGGCATTCCCTCTTCTTTCTTGAGACGATATGCTGGATTTGGCTCGTCGTACTTAGCCCAATGCAAGCGGAACTGCAAACGCAGACGGTTTGAGCTCAAGCTCGAATGTGAGGCACAACGCGAGCTGGACGACGTGACTGGCAAATTATACGAGTAAAGCAGCCCCTCATTAACTGTTGCTCCTACCTATTCTTTTGGTGTCTTGAAAAATTCTGACAAATCCCAGCTTGGATGCAGAAAACGAAAGTTGGGAGTGGAAACCTGAGGATGTCAAGCGCCTCTTAACAGAGAGGGTAGATGCGTCCCTCGAGAGTAGCCAGATACCATATGAGGCCTACGTTGGTTCCATTCTAGGTGAACAGTTCCAGCTCGGCCGCTTGATAAGCGAGGATGAACATTGGGGAGAGGCTGTATACCAGGTGACAGCACTGCTCGCACCCAACAAGGCGCTTGAGGCTAGGTCGTACTGTTTGACCGGGCTTCCCAGAGAGCAGTTGGTGTCAATAAAAAGACGCATGAAGAGACTTCATAGGAAATATGGCGTTTCCAAGATAGACCAGGCGCGGAAGAAGTTCCTTGTCTACTACCGCAACAGTCCTCCAAATACCCCTGGCAGCGAGAGAGAAAGTGAGAGAACACTTGGCGCTTCAACAAGCACAAAGGATCGAATGACTTTTCGAATTTCGAACTATGACTATGAGTTTCCCGCGCTGCTCGAGACGAAATCTCCGCGACATACTAGGATGGGGGTCTGGACCAAAGAAATGTCTTGGGCCTTCCCTGACCAGTCCTTAAGTTGTGAAGAATCCATCAACGAAAGCTCGGCCAGAGACAATCATGCCGCCGAGGAACCAAGGCCACCTAGCTCGGGACAGAACCCTGTGGTTTCAAGCAACATTCTTGATTCATGTGCACCTCGCTCCCCACTGCAGCGTGGAAGGCGACGAAGACCAAGAAAGTCCAAAGCCAAAGCAAGCCAATTGGCAAGTCCGGGCGAGACATTGCATGAGACTTTGGCTACTTTCTATACCGATAGCGAGATACACGAAGAAACAGGTAGCCAAGATGCTTCACGCGTTCCGCCACAACATGACGCGTGCGTCAAAGAGTTGGGCAGTCTCACAGCTATGCACGAGCAATTGAATAATATAGCAGGGAACATCGCAACATTGAGCGATCGACTTGCGGAACAATATCATTTAGTTCAGACAGCAAGTCAATCTGTACAAAGAAGAGTCGCTTGGTTATCCCAAACTATGGACGAGCAGCAGAAACCTGGCATGGCCTTGGAAGAAGAGTCCCCCATCTTCTTAGAGCTGGAACGCACTTCTACATCTTGTGCGTCAATATGCCAACAGCTCTGCGCACAAGTGGATAGGTATAATCGTCTGTGTCCAAAACCCATGGAATTTTGCGAAACTGGTGCGTTAATAGGCCAACGGCTTCGCGCAACTTGATAGGCATAATCGTCTGTCGCAAACCGCCAAGTATCGCGAAATAATTGACCAGAAGCAATCCCTACCAACAGGATTTTCAACTAGTTACGCCACAGGAAAGTGACAAACCAGGGCCAACTCAATTGTACTTTTCATCATAAGCTAGTCAGTCATTCTTGGACAAACCAAAACGACTCAGAAACAAGTATATATATATATATGTATATATGTGCGTGGTTACGTATATTTACAAAAACAAAACAAAGAAGAGCGCAAAGAACTTGAATCTAATTTGAAATCCAGGAATCCCCCTCCTGCCCATAGCGGCAATGATTATCCAAACCGGCAAAGCCCTGCTGTGCAGGTGAAAAGACGACAGGGAGACAGCGATGAACAAAACAATACCGTGACTGCCAATGGTAATACAGGGTAATACAGGAGACACTCCGTCTATGATTCTATATGGGTAAGTAAGGAGTGTCTCGCCGTTCCTGCTACCTACCGCGTGGCAGTGTCTGCTGCTCAGAGCCAGCATCCTCATATCACCGCTTGGTCTTTTATAGAGAAGACGCTGAGCAGGGTGACTACCTGGATGCGACTCGATCCAAGACACAGCAACACAGGAATCTCAAGAAATCTGCTACCAGACGTTATCAAACATGTTTGACCGCGATGCGTCGTTCTTCATACTCTTTTTGGTGGAGTATTCTTCCTTCTACCGCGTGCGTCCTTGCACAGCTCGAAATGTTCACAATACCCCTTCTTATCAGGAAACTTGGCAGCACATTTCCCGCAGCAGTAGCTAGAACATTCTATAGAGCAGGCTACTAGATGCCGTAAATGCGCGTCCCGGCGGTGGTCATGCCTGTTACAGCCTCCACAGACATATTGGAACGGGTAGACGCCGTGAATTGACCCGTAATGCCTGGCGCGGTCACGCTTCGATACAAAACGGCCGTGATTAGGGTCGAATTCGCAGGGATATTTGCCCCGACTCCTGACAGAGGAGTAGGTTGTGGCAAGCCCGGCGCCACACACCTCTTGATTTCTAGAGGGAATTGATAAAGTTTCCGAGAGGCGTGACGGTCCGGGCCTTGAGAGCTGCTGTGTCGGGGCTTGAGTTTGAGACTGTGTGGACGTGAAGAAGGGTCGGTCCGGGGACCATGTTGAAGAGGTGGGTGAAGATGAAGTTGTTGCACCAGATGTTTCATTGGGTACGATGTTGACAGGTAGCAGAGACTTTCCAACGGTATAAGCGCTTGCAACAGCGGCATGACGTCTTTGGCTGTGGACAATCAGAGGCTCAGAGGGTACACGGTAACAGACGGACAGTCGAGCGGGATCAATACAATGACTTTGGACGGATTGCAAGAAGGGTTGATTGACCCGCCACTCTGGGCCTGAACCAGTGACCATCTCCAAGCTCAAGGACTCTCCAAAAACCGGCAGATGATCAAAGCCGCAGTCGCGAGCAGAATTGCCAGTGTGTTCTCCCCGGTATATGAAATCGTCACTCTCACCCGCAACAGTAGGCTCGCACTGCGTTATGAGATAATCATGATGGAATCCCTGAATGGGTTGAGCGCGGGTCTACACCCACGCGGCTGCCAGACAGGTATTTCAAGGTATTTCGGGGTTTGCCCTTGTGAAAGAGCTGGTAGTTGTTAAAACTGGTACGAGCTACTCCGCACGCTGGATTAGCACTGAACTGAGGCAAGAAGTGATAGGAAACCTTCTGTAATGACTCACTGGCAATTTATAAAAAGCAGTCTCGGGCCGGAGAAATCTGCACCAGCCTCCACTGCCTCGTCCGGCGCCGCGAGCGGTGGCTCCGGGTGGGCGAGGTGGAAGAGTCGAGGTTGCAGGATGGCGAGAGGGACCGTGGTGTTTTTGAAGTAAGCTCATGCTGCACACCGACACCTACCATCAAGTCCCTCCACAACGCCGAGTTAGGTGAGGCTTGCCAGACAGACGAATGAGACGGGCACAGCCAGGGGGGTAAAATGGCCTCGCCATACAACGTCGGTTGACCCTGGGACGTGACTGCTGCAGTGCTGATGTGTTGCAGATTCTAGGTCTTACCTTGCCCCTCAAAAAAGAATTGGCCTCGGCTTTGGCACCTGGGCCTTTGGAGAGCCCGCCCTTTGATCTTCTCTTTGAGGCTCTTGTCAGCAAAATACGAGACCTGCCACTTGACCATGATGTCTCAGACAGACCATGGACACAGACACATGGGCGGATTGCAGGGCGTCCAGGGTGCCAGAGTGACAAGATGCCAGGATGCCAGAGTGCCAGAGTGACAGGATGCTAGGATGCCAGAGTAACAGGATGCCAGGATGCCAGGATGCCAGGATGCCAGAGTGCCAGAGTGCCAGAGTGCCAGAGTGCTAAAGTGCTAAAGTGCCAAAGTGCCAGAGTACCAGAGTGCCAGAGTGCCAGAGTGCTAAAGTGCCAAAGTGACAGGATGCCAGGATGCCAGAGTGCCAGAGTGACAGGATGCCAGGATGCCAAAGTGACAAGATGCCAGGATGCCAGAGTGCCAGAGTGACAGGATGCTAGGATGCCAGAGTAACAGGATGCCAGGATGCCAGAGTGCCAGAGTGCCAGAGTGCCAAAGTGCTAAAGTGCCAAAGTGCCAGAGTACCAGAGTGCCAGAGTGCCAGAGTGCCAAAGTGCCAAAGTGACAGGATGCCAGGATGCCAGAGTGACAGGATGCCAGGATGCCAGAGTGCCAGAGTGCCAGAGTGCCAGAGTGCCAGAGTGCCAAATTCTAAGCTCCTGGCTGGAGGCTCACAATCATCTATGATGAGCGGGAGAAAGACTGAACCGCCGAGGCAACGCTTCCAGCATCTCCCCTCACCCAAGCTGGACAAAACATTCCACGAGATTTTACTATTGGGATACTGAATCCGATGAAATTGTGATATCCTCTTATTTCCTCTTTTTTCAAGGTACAAATCTGAAGAGCAGCCTTATCCTGGGAACAAGATCGAAAATCACGTGCAACTAGGCCTCCATACAAGGCACATATTTTCATTGCTTGCCATTGCTGCAGGATCCCCCCGTCTCACCCCCGTGTTGTCCACCTTTTACCTGGCTCTCTGTGTTGTCTGGACCAGCTGAACCATTCTCGACTCCCACCGAGCTTCCGCCATCCTCTGCGGCTTCATCGACGGGCCAGAACATGTCCCCAAAGTTACCTATGTCCAATCTATTAACGACTTTCTTCACCGTAGACCATAAGGTTTCAAGTTACCGTTGCAGGCAATTAGCTCAGTGTATCCGGCCGATACAGCTTCGTCACTTGGTGCCGACATCTTGATAACCTTGCGTGAAAGAGGTTGTTGATATTGCAAAGAGGTGTATAACTGACAAGTCCGCTGATATTACATGACGGGAAAGTACTCAACACAAGTCTCGAATAGCTTGACTCTTATATATCCGTCACAAAGGGATAATGGCCTCAAAGTCTTTCCTATTTGGGGAATTGAGCAGCATATCCCATTTATGTGGTTACGCACATTGCATCGCGTCTGATAAAAGCTATTAACCCTGTCCCAGAGCAGATGATATGCTGCGAGGCCATACTCGACAGAGGTGTCTGCACACCTACGTGGCGGTGACGGCGCATGCCAAGTATCGGATGGCCCAGCATGACGGAATAGGACAATTGAGATGATTTCCCTTGTGACGAGCAGCAATAAATGGCCACAAAAGTGCGATCATACTCGTTGCCGCCACTCTTTCGCGGTAGCCTCATATCAGTTCCTGCATTAGCACCATGCCTCTGAGCTCCGGGGGCGTTTGGGCCGTGTGACTCTCGTCCTTGAAAAACATTGCCGAGCGGCATGGGCCGCTTTGGGTGCAGAGATATGGGAGGGGCGTATCCTGGGGACGGAGGAGGAGTGTCGTGGCCATCCGCGGGAATTGGCCTCGCTTTGCGGCTTACACTGCTGACATGTAGTGCTACTGTGAATGTTGGACTGACTCGAGGACCTGGGGAAGCCGGTAAGTGGGAGGAATGACTATAAGCGTGGTACCACGTTATTATTAGTACAAGAATTACTTGTGGTTTATGACTGCTTCTGCTCGTCCTGCTGGAACTTGGAATTAGTAGTCTGGCGGCTGCTTTGTCTGCCGGGGCTGGAATTACGTACTGACTATGCGTCTTGATGCGTACCCAGATAGTTGGACAGGTAGCTCATCTACCCGTTGCCCGTCTTTCGGCCGAGCAAGTCAAGAAGAAAGGTTGGACAATGCTTGTTTTCCATGTCGTTGACGCATATGCACTAGAGCACACGCATTAAAGCCACTCCAACTCGCGCACTTTACCAACCCAGTGCATGATACACGGCTTCCCGTACGGAGAAAACACCCAAACGCCCACACCCACACCCGCAATCAAGCCACACACCCTGGTCGAGAGCAGCTGTGACGTTTCCGCATACTCGGTTCTCCCGGCCAGTCTGCCAGATTATTAAGTGGCAGTCATCGCATTTGCCACCGTCAGTAGCTTCCGGCTTTGAAAGTTCAACAATGTCATAACTTGGTGCAAAGGGAAATGTAGAGGAGAACAGAGGCGACTAGGCCGTGTTGTGCTATTTATACTGCATTACATGATGCCAGAGTATAAAAAGAAACAAAGGCCAAGTAGGATTCTTGCTTCTGACTCCTTTTCCCTTCCCACTGCGCTGTACGATTAGAAGCCAGTCCAAACCGTCCCAACAGGAATATAGCTGCCGCCCCCCTTCATGAACAGTGGTATGCGGACCACGCTCAGGTTACCGATTCCCCCTCAACTCTGGGGAGTGTACATGCCGTTGTTGGGAAGGTCGCAGGCGGGGCCACGGCATGTTCCTCTCACGCACGCTTTGCAGCTGTTAGCAAAGAGCCATCTTGCAAGACTGGTAGATGAATAATACGTACTTCCCCCTCTGTTGCAATCACCCTGGGTCCAGAAGCAACCGAAGCCATCCGAAAGGCCCTGTGAAATTGAGTAGCATTAGCATCTGGCTGGTAAAGAAGGATGCGCCTGGGGGAATTACCTTGCAGGCGTCATCGGGATCGTCGGCAGTCGCGAATGCCGCGACGGCGAAAGACAGGAAAACAAAAATGTAGCGCATGTTGGCTGACTGAGTGATGTATTCAGAAAAGGAATTTAAAAGTTGTTGCTGATGAAATGAATTGAGTCGAGTTGAGTCAAGTCGAGGCTAGAGCATGGCAGACGGCCATCTTTTATGTTCATTTCTTCATTCACAGCCCACGAAGCCATATCGGCGACCATGACGCCGGGATGTTTCAGCACATTACCTATGCGGATTATCTGATGCATGGATTGCCTCGAGCAAGTACGATTCATCTTCTTTTGTTGTGTCTCACGCCGCGTCGACGTTGGTCAAAGGCGCAGAGCCCATGTCCTGCTTACATTTGGCGATGATCGCTGCGCACGTTGATGATTTCCCATCTGCACTTGCCTCGACCGCCTTTGTCGAAATTTCGATCAACGTTTCGGGTGGTAGTCATGTATGGACTTGTGATGATATACCGCGCGGTGGTGCTGGCTTCAAAACCGGAAGTCCGTTCAGGTTGGCCCAGACCACCGACTCCTAACCGGCGTTTCAACGTTTAGGCAAAGAACCAAACGAAAGAATAGTATCATATATCGCAAAATATGACTGAAAAAAAAGAACAAGGCTGCAGTTTTGGAATCGGCTCATGTGCTCCTGCCTGGGTTTGATTCCCATTTCCCCTTCATTGATGGGGCCCCTGTGGCACAAAGGGAACAAGCGAGAGCCCAACGCTACCATACACGCTCATTTGTTTTAGGTTGCATGCTCTCTTTTCTTTGCGATAACCCCCCCTGGATAGAACACGGAAAGAGCTCGGCTTTTGCTTTCGGTGGTGTTTGACGCATCGTTGACAGATTGTTTAGATCCATCGTTTCATCCTTGGGCGATGGTCACAGGCTGAAGGAGACGTCGCCCTCGGCAAGATGCGAGAGCGGCCATGATGACAATGGCGACTCCCATGTCTCATTGTTGTTTGCCGGGCTTGCATCCTGTGCTCGCTCTCAGTGCTGGTAGTTGCTCGATGCTGACGCAGGACAACAAAGTGACACTATGGCGGTAGCCATCCAGGATCCCCGGTATGAATCAAAATAAATTCTCCATCTCTGCTTTGAAAGGGGATTTCCAAACTTCAGAACCTCCAAGGCTTGAAAAACGCGACCGGCCCGCCATGTTTAGCGATTTGTGTCGTTCGCAGTATCATTCTTGATGGGTTCAGGCTCTCGGGCTGTGGTGCTCATAGGATGAGAAACGACTGGAAAGGTAAAGCAGAGGCCGATGGGTAGCTATGGTGGAGGCCCATGATCCAAGAATGCAAAGACTTTGATGAATGAGGTTGTGTGGAAGTTGAGCCACATCAATTTGAAGTCAAGCGAAAGCAAAAGGGGCTCGACAATACACCTGGCTTTTTTCTTTTAGGTGTGCGGTCCAGTACAGCCAGAGGTACCTACCCCGTATCTATAGGCAAGTATTTGAACACTCTAGGTACCCACACAGCACAATATATTAGAGTTAGGGTAAATGTAAGATGCATCCTATTTAAACCCTATACGATAGCCGGACAGTACGAAGGAGCGTTCAAATACTTATTGCCCCCCCGTTACAAGCCTCTAACCAGTCATTCGCCTACGTGCCGCTCGATATCTTTGGAGAGTGCTCAAAACACGCCTAGAGAACATCCCAAGACGAATACAGACATGAACTTTTGCAAAACTACTTTTTATATGTCATCAATATTATATTCGTATACGGTACGCTTTATGTGCCTATGTTACATGGATATGTGCAAAATATCTTGTTTTGCGTCTCTGCTCTCCTGGCCCCCGTCCAAGAGAAACTGCCAAGCCTATCGCTTATGTGATACCCTCGAAAAACAAAATATTGGATAATGACACAAAGTGATCATATATGCGCGATCCAGATTCTGATAAATTATTTCTCGTGCGATTGGGATTGCCGCTGCAGCTCGTCAATCCGTTCCTGAAGCCGCGCCTCCTCCTCGTCAATCTCCTGGATTTGCTGAAGAAAATGCCTCTTCCTTTCCAGCTCCTTTTGTCTCTTCCGAAGCATATCTAGTTCTGCTTCCGTATCCGAGGCCCCTGAAGAGTCCTCCGGCGCCTCCGTATGGGTCTTTTCCTGGGCCTCCTCCTCGTCCGCGGCTTGCGGTGGCTCTGGACGAGAGATGGCCGTCGTCGTACTGAACGACATTGCTTGGCTGCTGTTATCTTCCGGCGATACGTCTTCGGGAGACACTTCTGGTGTCTTTCGGAGGGGGTTCGAATCAATCTCGGCTATCGTGTTAATGTACAGCGGCAATGGGGCGTTGAGTGGCGTGTGTGATAGCATTTCGTGCCTCATCTGTGTCGAACCTATCTTGGTTTAGCTATCTTGTCCACAAATTGACATTGGTATTCGTGTGCCGGGCAAGATGGACATACCCAGTAGCTCAGTATACCCCATGATAACAGACTCGTTGCGTTTCTCTGCCGGCTTTGGGGAGGCGTTTTCTTCCACGGAAGACGTCGCTCGTGGTTTGCGGCGTCGGTAGCATCGTATCAGCCACAAGGGCGCTCCAATTACCGTCACAGTAGAGACGACGATGGTTGCGATGACGCCGGGGGATAAACCTGGACCATCTGAAGAAGGCGCTGGAGAGGCCGTGGGAGTAGCCGTCAGACCATCGGTTTGACCACCTATCGGGGCATTGCTCGTAACAGTGCTGACTAGAGTACGAATCGGCGTGGTTAATGAGCTGGGCGTAGGGGTGATCGTTTGCAGAGTGCCTTCGCTGTCATTTGGAGTAGAATTTGGAGTACGGGTTGGAGTAGTGCTAGCTGGAGGAATGCTGGGGTCACTACTCGAGACTGGACTGCCGGGCGGGCTAGATGAACTGAATATTCGTATAGTAGGAATGTAGCGTGGTAGCGTTATATCGGACAGCCTCGTAGAGGGCCCGAAGGCAGCCGAACACCTCTGGGTGCTCTTCAGAACCTGGGGGAAGTCGTTCGACTCAATATTGCAAGCTTTCTTGGTGCAATCAGCAATTGGGGCGACGATTGTATACCTATCTATAATCTTGCAGCCGCATAAAACGACCTCGTCGTCGTTTCCTGTGCATCCAACCAAGGGTAAAACCTGGAGCATGCAAGAGAGGATGCATGGGTCCAAGGTATCGAGGTTGTTGGCTATGATGATGCTGACAGCAGAGAGGATGACCAAGAGGAGATTCATTTCTGCCGCAGGGCGTATAAGAGACGAAGCGTAGAGACTAGATGACTGGGGAAGAGGGAATCAAGACAGCTCTTGGGCTCGGCCGCTGACTGCGGCGCCTCAGGAGGTGGTTGGAGCGCAACGAGACTCGCGATGCATGCCCTGGCGCAGAGGTGCCAAACCGCCTCATGTTGGCAGGCCGTTTTGGAAGCTCTCGTCTCCTCATGGCCTGAGTTTAATTGCATGTTCGATTTTTTTTGTGGCTAATTGCGTGTAACCCTCTCTTGGCAAGTTGGTTGGTTGCTGGCTAGCTACTCGGGGCACGGGGAGCCATGAGCGCCGTTTCTTTGAGCCGCGGTAGACTGCAGATTGGCCCCTGCGGTTTTGCGTGTCTAGGGACTGTCAATATCAGCTACTTGTTGCGTATTTATCTCCAAGGCGTCGTTACATCATGATCGAGAAAGGGGAAGTGCTGGCAAGTCTTTTGCGCAGCTCCGGTGCACCCACGGGACGAGATCACGATGGGATTATCAACAAAATCATGGAAACCATCTGCGTAGTAGTTAAAGGGTAACGTGGTTGTACAAGAGACGCATGGAGAACATGCAGAAGAGCTGTGACACCATCCTGGCCTGTTGGTTACACAGAAGGTCGAAGTTGCCAAGGTGCGCCGTCAGGGGGGGAATGGCTGGATGTGCAACGCCGCTAAGTTACGATGTCATGATTTACAGTCGAGAGTACAGTTGCGGTGCAGGAAAGGATCAAGATGAATGAACTTTGCACTTTGCGCTACAAAAAAAAAAACCATGTGGATGTGTGCGGGAAAACAATGGACTGCGAGCCAGGCTGGTTGGCGCTGGTCACATGAATCCCTTCCTCGGGACTTGAATTATCCCAAATGCACTAAAACGAGTGGAAGCGCCCGCCAGTTAAAACTTCAAGTTTAAGTAGCCAACATATTCTCTTGAATTCTGGCCTACACTCTGGATTGGGTGTACACTGTAGCTACAATACGTCAATTACTAGTACATCCAGACGTCGCCTTTCTAAACCGAGGCCTGTGAACAGGTATTCTATTTGTATTGAGCCCATAAAATGGGAACGAAACCAAGGCCAGCCGAACTGTCGTCAGGCTTCCCTCCCTACTGCTCTACGCCGCCGTTCATGCATCTATTCTCACTCTTCTGCTATTCCGACGACGACGACGACGAGGAGGAGGATGAGAGCCATTTGTCCGCACGTCAAGGTTTGCAGTCAGCATCGAAAATTTCGACAGAGATTTTGATTCTCACTCCTCGTCTTTTCAATTCTTGAGGGCTGGCCTCCACCACCCCTGCTGCCAATCTGGTCACTGGCACAGTCCTTAAACCCGCCGCTTTCGACGGGGGAGTACTTCGCTATTCCAACCATATCTGTCGTTGATGTTGAATTTCCCATCTGTGTCCTGGGCCCGACAAGACAAGTGTCGATATCCCCAGGGGCGTGTCTTGGCTTGAGATGGCTATGGAGTCCGTGAAACAACAGAACGGTTACACAACCGTCCTTCTTAGTGAAACGGTCTATTCGAGTCGCACGAACTGTACCGCCCTTGCGGCAATTGTTCTATGCTGAGACTATCGCAAACCAGTAACACAGGCCAGTCCCGAGGAACTAGTGTATCAACAATACGACGTGGTACACCGATATACAGTCCGGTACATTTCCTATCGCTTGTCTCTCCATTTCCATGAGCCGTGAAAAGGACAGTGTATCCTCGCAGTGCCTTACAAGACCTACTGTCAGTTGCCAGACCTGTCGCCAGCTGTCAATAATCGCATGGCCATACGTACCATCTACGTGTAAATAAACAAAGCTCATCCGTCTTCGACTGCATTCGCCTTCTGTACTTTATTTCAACCGACTTGTCTCTCGATGCGTTAACAATTGCCTTCATATGGTGCAATTGCAATGTTTTCTAGATCCCTAAGCGCCGCACGCGTCACTATTCGTGACTTCTTCCACGGTTCGCTTTCCCATCGTCGAAGGAGCAAAAAGACCGGCTGGAGGGAGCAAGTGGATGAATGGGGGCGCGCGGCATCCAAGAATGAAGTATCACAGGAGGAGGAGCGGAGGAAAGAGAGTGAGTATGTTGTCTGCGGTTTTGGCTAATACTGACATGCAGTACCAGCCTCGGATGATTCGTTTTTCACGTCGTGCTCTGTACAGAGTAACATTACAGGTAAGAACCTTCAACTCAAGGTCTATATATACTGATCTTCAAGACGTACCGATACCTTCCGAGGAGAATGCTATTATAAGGGACGGTCCGCGAAGGACGGTGGATGTACAACATGTCTCAGTCCCTCCGGAATCTTATACTAAGCTAGGTTCGCTACTGCGTAGTGCTTTTTACAACTCTTCTAACGAATATAGAAAATGGCATGATGTGTTCAAGAGCCAGGGCAAAGCTTGTAAACGCAAGGGAGACCCCAAAGAACTCCCGCTGTCACCAGAGCCATCTCAATCGACCTCAAGCACGATCAAAAATACCAGAATGCCGGGTCCCAAAAGACCAACACTGCAACGATGGCCGTATATGCAAATCAAGCAACTGGCAAATCACAGACTCCACCCTGTTTGCTTACAACGCCATGCTCGGATGTAGTCATGGCGAAAAAACAGATTTGTATGCGTGGTTGAAAGGCCACCATAGAGACTGTGGGCCGCAAAGTGACTGCTCTTTGTTGCTTTGGAAGTTGGAGGCGCAGGGTCTGAACTCCTCAAATGCTGAGGGACAGAATAATGGGAATGGGAGGGTGTTTTCGGTGCCTCGTCCGAGTTATGAAGCTACAACTCGATGGGGTGACGAGTCGAGGCTACATGGAGCTGCCGGACCAATATCGCGCGGAGAGTCCGAGGAAAATTCCGCAGCACGGCATACTCAAGCAGACTGTAGCTTTTCTGGCTACTATAACGGCGGAGACATCCGTAAAGACCTTCAAGGGGAGTCAATTGAGCCAACTGCTGCAACCGTAACGGACGGAGTCGACTCTACAGACGCCTATGTATCAGACGGCGAGGACTCGGGCAGGATTTCCCCAGACACATACCGCCTATGGACCACGAATTGTTCCAAAGGCCAAAAGAATTCTCGCCAGAGTACGGAAGACTGCGCCACATGCCATGCTGAAACGGCTGGCCTACACACTGCTCATGAACAAGTCGACCTGATACCCGACGACACAACTACAGCATCCTGCCCGTCCATCTCATCCGGTGAGCCCAAGAACAACGGTCAAAAGTCCAAGCCACTAATTAAGTAGATAAACACCACGAAACCCGGTCGTGGCAGCACAAACTGTCACTCCACGCCGCGCCCCCCAACACGACCACATGCCATCGCCTCCCAAACAAAGTATATACCCTCACGCTCGTTCGTCCACGACCTCCCCAACCCCAAAACGCAAACTTTACCAAAAAGCCGCTGACAAGAAGATAACCAGCCCCAAGTCCAAGCCGCACTCACCCACCCGCTCGCACCGCCTATAATCCACACCGTCCGCCTATCCCAATACACCAGCGCCGTCAGCCGCCGCGCCTCCTTCCTCGACTCCTCAGAACCGCACATATCCCAACTCGCCCGCACCCGCACCCACCTGCACGACCAGATAGCCACCCTCCAGGAAACACTAGACAGCATCGCGGCACACGCGGACAAAATCGTGCGCAGACGCCACCCACTGCGCACGGAAGCAGACATGAGGGAGCACAAGGAGAGAGAGGACATATACGCCTATTTAAAGGACTACATGTGCCGCCTAGACGCGGAATGCGACGCCCGGCACGAGAAACTGCATCTTCTAGCCCACGAGATTGACAAGCTGAGGGAGCAAGAGGGCAACCTGAGGGTCATGATAGAAGCGGTGGGGGAGACGGTGGGCGTGGACGTGGAAGAAGTCAACGGGGACGTAGGCAAGATGGAGAGGCTGGTGAGGTTGATCGACGAGGGGGAGATGGAGATTTTGAGTAGGCAGGACCACTGTGCGTGTTATTAAGCCTCGTTGGATACGCCTTTGTCAGACGATTGTACATCCGTGTAAATCGATTAGATGAAAAATGGAAATGTAACCAAATGCCGTGCATGTATGGAGTAGATCACAGGATGTAAGAGACCAACATGATAGTCTTCGGTTGGCTCGTCTGCAGGGAAGAAAGACACTTCGTCAAATGCCCCTGCCCAGACAAAAAAGGTAGCAAGAGGATAGTAGGATTTCACATCTACTAGCTTTTCAACAAGGACTAGAAATAGCCACAGCCAATGGCAACACCCCACGAAAGGGACTGATACAAATCGTCTTGGAATTACATGTCATGACGGCACACAGGGCATCCAGGTGCCGTACCTGTATTTACCCACGCCTATACAAAAGCCGAAACTACCGACGCCATTATACATACATCATATGCACTAGACAAAAAAGCAATGAAGCCCATCGTGGGCGAAGATAGGTAAAAAAAAAAAAGAAAAGAAATCTTAGCGCCTATATTGGTCCGGATGCCTTTCATACTCGTGCGGCCGTAAGCCTCTTCCCATGACGTCTCTTGGATCCCTGGGATCTCTTGGATCTCTAGCATCCCGCATCTGCATCTCTCGAGGATCAGGCGCGGGATAACCACTCCCAGGCGGTGGGCCACGGGAATCATATCCCGGCGTATAGCTTCGCGGGTGCTCTCTCGGGTCTCTGGGCCCCGGTCCTGGTGTTGACGCATACCGCGGGTACCCTTGGGCTGGTGGCGGGGGCACAGGCTCGGGCCCGCGAGATCCAGGCGGCGGGTATCGACTCTGCATCGAGTGCTGGGGGGGTTGTGAGCTTGAGGCGTACACGGGGGCGCCGCGGTCGTCTCTCATGCCGACATGCTGGGGAGGAGGGGCGGATGCCCATGCCTGAGCGGGAGTGGATGGCTTGGGTGTCGATGAAGGATGCGGAGGCGCCCATTGCTGTTGAGGCGGGGGGCCCTGTGAGGGTTTGGAGGGCTGAGATGGCCAGGCGCCGGAGGAAGTCGGTTGCTGAGGCCAGGCATTGTCTCGGCCGGACGGCGGAACTTCTCGCGATCTCGCGGCAGAGCCGTGTCCACCGTACTGGGGAGGCGGCGGCGAGGCGGCGTGGGTGGGTTGTCCGCCAGGTCCGTATGATGCATAACCGCCTTGAGGCGGGTATTGGGGTTGTGCCTGGGCAGGAGGATATCGATGTGCGGTCTGAGGAGAGTTGTTTCCGCTGTGGTGTCCAGCTTGGTATGCAGCATGCCCTCTGTAGTAGGGATCTCTGTCGGCAGGCACTGGCTCGTTGGGCATGCCCATGGTCGACCGCGGCGCACCCATGTGAGGAGGCTGACCAGGCGATCCCCCATAGGCGGTAGGCTTGAGTGATGGCATGGCTGAAACGTTGGTGGCTGCTCGCCCGTACGGGGAATACTGCGGTTCTGGCTCACGGCGCATCTGTGAAGGCGGCGCAGGTCCCGGAGGCGGTGGTCGTCCCATGGTCGGGGGTGGAGGGGTTCCTGATGGCCCAGAAGGCACGTTTGATACCTCGCTGACACGTTTCGATGCCGGGGGCGGATCGTCATTCAAAAGAGACATAATGTTGGAAGTCTTGCGAGGCTCGGTCGGCGGCCTCGACGCACCCGAGGGCGTGGGAGCTGGAGGGCCAGGAGGCGGCGCATGGCCGTAGGGTTCCTGAGCCTGGCCGGGTGGCGGTCGCTGCTGCAGTGAAGACATCGGCCGTGACGACGGACCCAGGGGAGGAGACTGCGCAACGGACGGGTGATCCATCATGCCACGGACGGCATGAGACGGCGGCGGCGGTTGCTGATGCATCGTCGGCGGCGGATATGGCTGGGCGGCGGCGGATCGAGAGGGCTCCTGTGAAGACGGCCGCGACAATGACAGTGGTTCGCCTCGAGGTCCTTGGCCGATGCTGGACTGGTGGCGATGGCCGTACGGCGGCGGTTGCTGTTCGTAATGGCGCTGTTGATGTGCCAGCTCTGCTTCGGCATTTATTCGCATCGACTGTCTTTCAGCCTGTCTGGCGGCAAGTTCTCGCTCGCGGTCGCGCTGCTCACGCTCCCTTTCTCTCTGTTGGCGTTCCAGCATCGAGTCGGGATGTGCGGATGGTATTGGCTGAGCGGCAGCCAGCGGTCGCTGGTCTCGAAGTTCAGGAACTTGGTTGGCACCACCGCCACCCTTGGGCGGCAACGGGACTCGTTGGTGAGCTTGTGCGACCACCTCGCGCTCTCGCGCATGCTCGGGGAAGCCAAAGGCTTGGGCAGGAGCACGCAAGGCTGGGCGAGGCCCGGGCGACATGGCCTGGGACGCTGGCTGCGGCACGGCGTGTTGCTGGATGGCGAGAGGAGGAGGCGGCGGCGGCGGCTGTGGTGGTGGCTGTTGTTGTTGTTGCTGCTGCTGCTGCTGCTGCTGCTGTCCAGGCACGGGTTGAGCAAGCAATGGCTGCTGCTGCTGCTGCGGTGGCGGCGGCGGAGGTTGCTGTTGCTGTTGCTGATGCGGATGCTGATGCTGGTGTTGCTGCTGGGCCGGTTGTTGCTGCTGCTGCTGCTGCTGAGTCGGCGCTTGGGCAATGGGCACACCATAGCCACCGGGATACGGTTGGGATCGAGGAGGTTGGTTCGTCGCCTCCATCTTCTGTTGGGCTGGCTCGTTGTGCATCTCCATGCCCGGTGCCACAGCCAATGGCCTGGTCGAGCCAACTGCAGACGAGTTGTCATATCTCCGTCCTCGTCCACCCGTTGTGGGCAGCGGTGGATCAGGCCGCTTCTCCCCTCTGGTCCGCTTCCCATCAGCCTCTTGCACAATTGCATCCCATTCAGTCTTGCCCTGGTCTTTCTGGCGGACAAAGTAATTCTTGACCTGTTGTTGGGTGGAGGGGGGCCGCATTGTTAGTCTTTTGTGCTACACACACGCACACGCATAACGCATGCACGCACAACTCTCTCAACTCGACAGCTGCCGTTTTTGATTGGGGGGGGGAAACAAAACTCACCATTACTGCTGTCTTGGACCCCATGTGAGCCGCAATTGCCGTCCAGTCAGAGCCAAATGATCGCAGCAGGAGCGGAAAGTCATTAGATTCAGAAACACTCCAGTAGCTTGAGGCCTGCGCCGGAGCCTTGCGCTCGGTTTGAGGCTGGGCAAGATTGAATGTCGTCATTGCAGGCTGCGGAGGAGGAGGTGGTTCCGGCCGCAGCGAGGGAGCAGCCATAACATCTGAGATTGACGGTGGAGGTATGGTCTTGACTCGTTCCATGCCTGGAATGGCCTGCTGCGGCTGCAGCTGCTGTTGCTGCTGAGACTGTTGCTGCTGCTGCTGCTGCTGAACGGGGAATGGCGGGTGAATCCCAGAAGGTACAGTCTGATCGAATCCAGCTGTTGGCGCGCGACCGGCGTCTGGAGGCATGGCTGTGGTTGGAATATCAGCTGGTACTCGGGAACTAGACCGAGACCTGCCTTTTCCAGAACCACCTCCAGGTGTTACGGACAGCGATTGGTTGGCTTTAGATGCCTTGGTGTCCTTGTCCTTTTCCTTTTCCTTATCCTTATCCTTATCCTTGTCTTTGTCCTTGTCCTTATCCTTGGCACGCCTGCGACCTCTCCGACCATCCACCTTCTCACCTTGCTCTCCTCGAGCAGCTGCCGAAGCCCCGCGACGTCCAGGCGTTCCGGCGGGAGTTGCATTCTCGCTGTCTGTCGCCGGCTGCTCGAATCCCCATGTCGGGGCGGCGGCGCGGCGCGGTCTTCGACGCTCTCCATTCTCGCCAGTTTCTTGGCTCTCCTCGGTTCCTTCGTCGCCATTCCCAAGCTCCGAAACTAAGGCACTCGATCTCTGCTTGCCTCGTCCGCCCTTCTTCCGCCGCTTAGGCTGCTTCTTGAGCTTCTCTTTCAAGTTGAGATCCTTCTTCATCAGGTAGTAATACTGAATGCAAGTGCCAAAGTCACGATGCGGTATCATTTCAGCAATCTTGCCCCATTGCTTGGGGTTCTCGAGGTAGCGCTTCTCGAATAGCTCGTTCTCTTCCTCGGTAAAGTTGTTGAGGGGTGGCAGGACGTGCCATGTCGAGACTAGACGGTCTTGCGGTGTGTAGCCGGATCGGTCCGTATATTGAGCCTTCGCTCTCTCCTCGGCATCCCAGTACATCTCCGGAATCACTGCTTCTTTTTCGCTGCGATACTTTTCCTTTTGAGCCCTCAACTCACGCTCCTTCCTCTCCTCGTCCTCTCGCATGGATGCTTGCAAAACCCGCTCCAAGTCACGTTCCGAAGCAAACCTCCTGCCGGAGCTCCGCCCTTCTGGTTTAGGCTCAGGCGTTATCGTACCAGCGGGCTCAATCATGGGGACTGCGACGGAGAATTTGTCCCTGCTCTTGACAGCAGCCGGATCGTTCGAGAGTGTAAATTCCAGATAGTCAATATATTTGTCGGCGTAAGCCTTGCGTGCTTGCTCTTGCTGGGTAGATTCCTCAAGATGAATTTTGTCCAGGTGTTCCATAACATATTCGTCAATGATGGAATCAGTGTCGAATGTCGCCAGCAAGTCCTTGTCTTTCACCCAGCTGTCGCAGCTGTAGTCGGGCAGACTGTCAATAGGCGGCGTTGTCATGAATCGACGCACTGTCTTCAGGTCCAAGTACGCCTCGTCCTCGGATTCAGTTTCATCGTCATCATCAGGTATTTGCGACGGAGTGCTGGGAGGTTTTGAGGCAGCTTCGGTCGCCTCTGGGATCGATTCGGGAGGTTGTGACGGCTGTTTCGTACCTTCATGTGCAAGAATAGAAGTACCAGAAGTAGAGGCGCCAGATCTCGACACAGGGCGAGATGGTGGTTTACTGGCCACTGCATCTTTTGATTGAACATCACTGGCCGGCACAGAGGGAGCCCGAGGAGCATCAAGATCCATCTCCTCCGTCTTCGTAATGGGCTCGGGAACGGTGTCGACAACATCCGGCTTGGCGATTTCTTCGGTTTCCACCTTGGCCGTCACTTCTA